TATTACTACAAATTTCCACACATACCTTCAGATTGATGACAGCAACCCTATTAGCCGGGGCGGAAAGTTGCTCACTGATATAAGCCATAGACTTCAACATGGGCTCTAGTGTGACCTGGGATAACTGAAACTTAACTTCTGATTCTCGTGAAGGAGTCCTACTGTAATCTTGCAGCTACAACCAAAGAAACTCAGTAAACAATAATTGAATAATCAAATCCATGACATATCAGCAGTAGAGAACATGATAACTGAAATTAAACCAGAAACATGTGGTCACAAAATCAAAGGAAGCACACAACCCTGATAAACCCTGATATCCCTATCCAAAACACATCAGTTACATTATCAAAACAACAATTAATCGATGCACCGACATGATGATCTTTAAAAAGAAAGTTAAAACAGTGAACCAAAATCAAATTATACATAAAGCTCTGAAATGCACCTTCAGGTTGATGACAGCAACTCTATTCGCAGGTGCCGAAGTTTTATTCTCCATCACCCAAGTCATTGACTTGAGGCAAGGAAGAATCACCTAAGAATCCCAAAAAAATCAGTAGTGCACATCTTGTTGAAAAATCTGCTAGTGAAATTAAATAAGATAAAATGGTTTTCAGTACCATGTTATCTGCATGACCATCATCACGGTGAAGAGAAACAGGGCCCATGCGCTGGGGATTTAAATCAGCAACAGCCCGAGCAGGACTACCAGTATCATTAAGATTAAAGCGCTTTGTCATTTCATCTTGTCTTGGCCACAATAATGGTGTCATTTCTGAAGCAGAGGTAGACGTCCTCCGATCATCATAGCCAACACAACTGGCTTGTGATCTAGGAGGTGAAACTTTAGAAACATTTCTTTTTGCAAGAGCCACCTTCTTTCCTCCTTCTTTAAGAGCACCTAATGCAGCATTATATGTCTCTTGAGATACAGCCCCTTCTTCAGCACATCTTATGGCTTCCCTGCAGAGACTGTTGTATCTCTGTGTCATTGATTCAGTACCATGAAGTTGTACATGTTCATCTAATTCAGCACCACATTTTGCATTTATTGTCCACCTTTTCAAGATGTAATGAGATGGCAATGTAAGAATATTAGTTACTGTAAAAACTGTAAGAATATGTCTACAGAGGATACCACTACATTCAAACATCTGGCAGCTACAATTTGCTTTCAGTTCAGATATATTCAATGCGACAAGGTATGCTTTCTGGTCATCCTCAAATTTTGCAACTCTGAATGTGCTGATAACCGCATCTCCATCAATTCTGTTTGCAGTGTAGACAAATGTCTCCACCAACTCTTCTTGAAATTTTAAGAATATTTTCTTGGTGTATAAAGTTGCTGCCTGTTTCTCCATTGGAGATGGTGTCTTTAGTGGTGGAGTGGTGCATATTGTATCAAAATCAGCTTCTGTTTCCTTCTCAAATGAATTCTCCAAAGCTCTTTCATACTGCCTGAAGAACAATGGCAATGTAATCTGTTGACTCACATAGCCATCGAAAAATGAACATTCATATTCCTGGTTAGGAGAAACGGCTGCAAAGAAAGTATCACGAAAATAAACTGGTACCCACTGTCGACGTGTATTATATATGGATTGAAGCCAATCATTCTTCTTCAGGTCATACTTATCAAGGATCATCTCCCAATACGATTCAAATTCTTCAACTGTCTCTGTCAAATTGATACAATTATAGAGTTCAACCTGGAAATTTGGGAACATGTGACATACATGAGCCATTCTGTCCTGGCCACCCCTTAATACATGCCACTTGTTGATACAGTGCCGTGTTTCAGGAAAAACTTGAGCAACTGCAGATTGAATAACAGTGTCCTGATCAGTAATTAATGAGACAGGGGCACGGTCATTCATAGCGGCAAGGAAGGTCTTGAATAGCCAGACAAATGTAGCCTCAGACTCATCTAGAAGAAGTGCACAACCAAACAAAATTGTCTGACCATGATGATTTACTCCTGTGAGCGGAGCAAATGGGACTCTGCACTGATTAACTCTGTACATCGTGTCCAGTATAACGGCATCACCAAAATGACTGTATGCATTTCTTGACCTTGCATCAGCCCAAAATACATTAGACATGCGATTATCTTCGTCCAATTGTATGGCATAGTAAAATCCAGGATTCCCAGCCTGCATTTTCTTGAAGTAATCAAGAAGATTCTGAGCATCTCTCCCTAATGTTCTTCGTTGATTGCAATGTCTTGGAGAAAAACTCTGAAGTGTAGAATTCTTAACAGTTTGATCTGACTCTTCAGGACGAGTTCTCTTAGCTCCATGGTTCATCTCTACAGGGATGCGGTTACCGTCTACTGAGACATACATTACACCACTAGGAACAATTCCAACACCCTGATTATTCTCAGGTACCTTCTTTTTTGTCACCGCAAAATGCTTGTGCGATCTCTGATGATGCACCTTGTTGGGATACACAAGGGAGTGACTGTGGTCCTTCACATATTTGGTCACAACCCACTTGTTTTGACCTTTTAACTCCACTCTAAGCATTGCATCACAGGATTCACCCGACACTCTTCTCAAACCAACCTTGTCACATAAGAAATCAGTCTTCAGTCGATTAAACTGACAGACACGGGTGGTAAAACCCAAACGCCTAGCATACTCATCATAGAAATTCTTTGCTTGATCTCCAGAAAGAAATACCATACCCATTTGCGGCTCAACAATGTTATCCCCATCAAGTGCATTTGATCTTCCATTTACATTTGCTTCTCCACTCTCACTGGGTTCATCATCACCGTCATCAGTTATACCACCTTGCTGGTGCATGTTCCCTTCTTCAACATCGATCACTTCAACATCCATCCCGGAACATGTAAACCACTTTAGGAAAATGAATTACATCCATCAAGGTACTCCAGTTCATATCCTTGAAGATGCCATCTAAAACTATGTAACGACCTGCAAAAAGTTCACTTCTTCAGATTTCACCATAACAATCATCTTTAACTAGTACTATTCTTCTTACCCTACATTTCCCTTATTTACCACGTCCTCATGTATTCAGCTATCGAAATTGAGAAAAGTAAAGCAAGCATGAGTACTGCAAGTCAACAACACAATAATAAAGTACCCAATATAATAACACAAATCACGCACAACCAAATCTCAAATTTGCTCAATAATGGATTTAGAAACTCTACTTCGGTCTAAATTTTGTACAAACGCTTCACCAAAACCAAATGAAATACTAGTACAGTGCTTTTCTGTTGTCTTCAATCACCAAGTATTCCTTTTAAGAGCTCATTCAAAGTACTTCCTCTATCCCCTTTTATATGAAACTTTTACCACGAGAATAGAAGCAATTTTTTTCTGCGAATACATGTTTTTGTATCATAAAAGTCGTATTAGCACTTTCATGTAATTTCTAATTATGTACAAGTTATCTCTAGAATTATGAGATAACAAAGTTAAAGCTTACACTGAACATAGACTTTGCCATTCAATACTTTCCAGAATTCACTTTATCAAACTTAAAATCATACTCTGCTAAAAAAAAATTGGGGAAAAAACATAAACAATACACACTAAATACACAGATACTTTTACACAGATAACCAGACAGTCATGCAGATAAAAAGGTCTATATCACCATATGTATAGTCACAAGCAGGCACACACACACAGCGACATATACGAAGGTACATATATATATATATATATACATGACACATATACATACATATATATGTATATATCTCTATGTACAAAAGAGAGATAAACCTATGATCAGAGGAGAGAGAATTAAGGCCAAACGGATCTCAAACAATTTGCGATAAAGCTACTTCCGGCCTGGAAAGCTTCAAGAGAGTTCTTCACAATAAAAACGATGGCGTTTTTGGGCACCGGCGAAGTTGCAGAGGGCCGGAGGGAAGAGGAAAACGGGGAGAGTTAGTGGGTGTTGTGTGGATTACCAATGAACCTAAGGGTACATCGATTTTGAGCCGTTTGATTAAAATGAACGGTGGATATTAGTCTATAGAAGATACCTACTGGTAGTTTACGTCGAACTTATGCTGAAATGAAGATGTGGGTGGGCCCGGAGAATGCTGTTTTAGTACAAAAATACAATCACACTATGATATTTTGGATCAATCAAAGCAATTTATTTGAGGAAATAATGATATTTTAATGAGAAATTTTTATAAATATCTATAGGTTAGAGCTATGAATATAGCTATAATTTGCGTATTTACAAAATCGAGTAATAATTATTACATGGATATCAATTGTATCAACAAACGAGTTATATTTAAACAGAAGATATCAGTTATATCATACGGGTATCAATTGTTTCATATGGTTATCAGTTATATTAAACGAGCATCAATTGTTTCAGATGGTTATCAGTTATATTAGGCGGGTATCAATTGTTTCAGATGGTTATCAGTTATATTAGGTGGGTATTATATTATAAGCGCGAAAAAGTTATATTAGTGTGCTTATGCATTGCTATAAAACTCAAAACGTAGATACATTTAGTATTTTATTTTGAAATTCTAACTATGTATCATGTCACGTTGCCTAATTTTTCCTTAATTGATTTTGTTAGAATTTAAATACAAAAAAATCACCCTTTGATATTATTAATCCCTTACATCTTGTAAAATGGATCATATAATTAAAGTATATATAGTCCGTTACTCATTTATTATTTAACTGATAAAAAAAAGTTACTATAAACAAGAGACAGAGTTTGTATCCATTTATTTAATGTATATCAAAAGGTAAATATTTTCCTCAATTAGATCATCTTTTTTTAAAATATTCGATAAAATTGAAACAATAAAGAGAAAAAATGTGACTGGAATTCAAATGATCTTGTCCTCGATGGTGATCAAGTGAGTGAGTTATACTAAAATAAGATCCAAACATCAAGTTTCATATGCCCTAACAAGTTTGATTTATAATGGGGTGTAACTCAAGAGAGCTATCCACACCACTCAGGCACTGGAGTTTCGAATTCCACTATATTTCTCTCCAAAAAATAAAAAAGTTTTAGACACTCAAGAGTGAGTTGAATTCCTCTATATCCATAATGATTTGAATGTGGAAAAGATACAGAATAAATAGTTAAATATTACTAATGGGTACTTTTCTCTACTGATTCAAGTGGTAATATTTTTTCTACCAATAATTATTATTGTATCAAAAAAAGATTGTGAAAAAACATAATGACCATGCCAATAAGGAATTGCATCTTGTTGAATACAATGATTGAAGCTGCATTAATATTATCTTTGTTGTCAGATGTAGGACTAGTTGCAAATCCTCCTGTGTAAAGAAATAAAATGGTTATGAAATTGTGTCCTAATTAGTACCATCATTAATTGGATTGATTAAAAAATTTATGGTTGATCCCACTTGCCACCTGCTTTTATTTTAGATTTTTATGAAGCGCGAATCTAAATAAGTCGGGATCTTAAAACAATACCAAAAACTGGAAGAGTTTGTTTACCAGGTGATGGAGCAGGGCTTTCCTCACTTGGTAGTGGAGCTCCGACTGGGACGCCAAGATCTTTAAAAGAAAAAAAAAAATTATACTGTAAACATTATTATTTCATAATTTTCCTATATTTGTACGATTTTAATATTAACAATGTAAACAAATAGGACAAAAGCAGTACAAATATAAAATAAATTTACAGTAGGTTAGTACTTTAAAAGATCTTAAGAGTACAATATAGAGCAACTTTTATATATATCAAACATAAAAATTATATGTGTATGTTATAGTTATAATTTGCATAATTGCGTTTCATAACAAATTTTATGTTTGTTATGAATCTTTTGATTTGTATAATTCGCTAGATATATTCAATTTTCTACAAATTGTTCAATTTTGTATAAATTTATTTATATATTGTAATTTGTATAATAAAATCTGTATTTGTATAATTATAAATGTATAGGACGAAAATATTTGTATTTGTATTTGTATTTGTATATACACTTTTCTCTCGCTTTATACAAACACAAATGCATTTTATACATTTTATACTGAAATGTATAAAATGGCTAATTGTATATTGAATCAGATGGCAAAAAATGGAATGTTTGCTGAGAATTACAAATAAAATAAATTATGGTTATAGCATTTAATTTGAATTAATAGTTTATTATTTCATATAATACCGTCTTTATACCTGTTTCACAACTTTGAACTACTATATTATGGAATTTAAATAGTATTAATAATTTACTCAATTTCACACCCCTTGTGTGTGGGTTTTTTCAAAATTCTAGGTGAATGCGAGATGTTTTTTATTCTGAATCGTTTAACTATTGCTAATGTTTGGACAATGAGTCAATGGGCAATAAAAATCCTATCTCGCCTTCCGACGGATGGAGCATTCGACCAAGAACGTCCGTTGGTACGATTACGATCTCAAAAAAAAAATGTAATTTTTTCTCTTTGATTAAAAATGGGCAACGGACCGTTGGCCATAGTGAATAGAGTGAGAAAGAAGTAAAATTTGGAGCAAGAAGACAATTCAAGGAAAAAAATGTAATTTTTTCTCTTTGATTAAAAATGGGCAACGGACCGTTGGCCATAGTGAATAGAGTGAGAAAGAAGTAAAATTTGGAGCAAGAAGACAATTCAAGGATCAATAATTGAGGCACATGTTGTGAGCTCTCACTCCCATTAATGGCTAATATAAACAAAATGAAAATGTCATTTAGATTACTTTTCTACCTATCTTATAAGTACTATATAAGTATTATTGTTCTAATTGGTAGTGAATTCCATAGGGTGTAGTATTTTATTCAAAAAAAAATGTTTTTCAATTTTTTCATATTTGATTGATCAAATATTTTGAAAAATATTTCTCTACTAAAACAAGTTTCTTCATGACAATGAGAAAAAATAACTTTCCTAAAGTAAGAGAGAAAACAAGTATCAAGTGATATTCTTTGTGTTTATTCCCGACCTTCTTAGCCCCTATCCCTACCATTCTACAACAGGATTATATTTGCTCTTGTGCTTGCGAAACCGGTAATCTGAACTCTAATACTAATTGTCACGACCTAAATTACGGGATCGTGCTAGTTAAGGGCAAATCCAAGCTAAAAAGTAGATCTCCCAATTTTCCCTTCACAAATCCACAGTTCCCCAAATTGAATGTAAGAAACAGAGAGTAAACCGGTACCTGAGCAAGTGCTAGCTGGTGGAAACTCCAAACTACAAGCAGAAGGAAGTTTAAGTGCCTTATCGACATCAATGTTGAACCCAATTTTAGCACCGGAGTGAGCTCGGCCAAGCATTTGGCACAAGCAAATAGGGTTACTATCTAACAATCCAGCAATTTCCGGGCAGCATCCTTTACCCGGAGTAGTCGAATTGCTTCCTCTTTCTACAAATGTTAAGCAATCGGACATGTTTACTAAGACTCTAAGGCAATCAACTCCGGGGCTCGGTGCCGGAGCTGCTGGTGCCGGTGGCGAGTCTTGTGCTTTGGTGGATGGAATCAGGGAGGAGAATAGTGAGAGAATGACAACTGTGGTGACAATGGTTGTGGTGATTTTGATGGATGTGGCCATTGTTGTAGATTTGAAATGAACGTGTTAGCAGTGGGAAGTGAGTGAGCACTGAGCAGAGTTGTAAAATAGTAGTGATGACTTTGCTTTTGGTAGGTATAAGTAAAATTGCCAAAACAACTCCTTTTTTTCCTGTTACTATATAATATTTGATTCGTCCACTTTTAATTGTTTACTATGCTAAAATAAATTGTCACTTAAGTTGGATCCGATTTTTAAGCTTATTAATACACTGGTGACTTTATAAATGTAATCATCCCACTGTATGGGGTCCAATATGTTTTGTTTGGAATTTTAATCACAAGTTTGAACAAAAAGGTGAGTTTGTTGCTTTTTTGTTAGCTGAAATTCATGCATAATTTTAGGAGATTTGAGTGTATCTGTAATGAACTATTAACACCAGAAGATAATTAGTAATAAAGCTAACACAGGTTCATTGCCAGTTTAATAATCATCCATGATGTTACTGTGCTGGGAGGTAGCAGGTACTCGATAGAATAGTCAAATTGCACACAAGTCAAGCTGGGCCAATCACCACCCACATTAATCGTCCACAACGACGTGAGTTGTGACTGGATTTTGGAAGAAGAGTTTCAACTTTCAACAGGGAACTGGTTATGCACAAGGGATGTGTACCTCAGCAAATTTTTAATTTAAGATTGTGCCTTGTAATCAGAAATTGGCTACTTTGGGAAGGGTGAAACACAGAAGACAAGTTCAATCTTCTACATGTAATCTCTGTGTTGGTTGCATGATAAATCCAAAGCAAACACTTTTCACTGTCACTAAATCAAATACTCCATTCAACACCAGAAACTGAACGTTTTGTCGACTGAAAGAAGTTAAGACAGATAAAAAGAAAAGGGATGAGAACTACCATTGCGGAGGTTGATAAAATGAACAACGTCATAACAAGGAACTCAAAATTCAACAGTAATATAAAAGCAACGAGACCTAGTTAGTTACAAGTCTTGCACCCTCCTCGTGATATATTTAGAGTAGAATATGATAGTAGACTGTAAGATATGGGTGTACTCCTTTTTTTTATGACAAGGGAAACTCGCAGCCACTACCCTTTGGATGCGCACATGGCGAAACTCCCGCTTCTATGCAATAGCTCGCAAACCACATAGGAGAGGTAACCCGCACTAGGCAAGCCCAGTGCGACGAGCTCAACCTAGAAGGCAAACCCCTTGCTTTCACTGGCAAGGGGTTTCGATCTTGAGACCTCCAACATGGAAGTCCCAAGCCCAAACCACTGAGCCACCCCGAAGGATCTATGGGTGTACTCCTTTCTTGCCTGTCTTTATCAAATTTGTAAATTCACAGCAAAAAATAAGTAAATAACTATGCTCAATCCAAGGGAAAATCACAAAACAACCTCTCTGCCTTGGTTCATCAAATCAAAACTAGTCTTTAAGAAATCACTGTGTTTTTAAGCAACACTAAATTCTGTGCCCACTATAAATTCCCGAAATGGCATGTCAAATTCAGCAAGATGCCAGCACAAGTTTGTAAACAAAAATCTCATAGCCAACATCAGTTTTTTTAACAAGTAAAACTCTTGACAGATCAAATAAGAGAAATGAGCGAAAGAGTTGCAAATGATACAGATTGTATCTTCACTGTAAATGTATCTATGGAAGCTTTCAACGAAAAAATGCCTTTTCATACATGATGAAGTATTGGAAAAAGAGAATTACTCTGAGGATCAATGACAAACTGCAGTCACTTCTAGGCCTTCACCTTCCAAACCATCTTACGCCTGTTGTTCCAACTGTTTCTGTGACCATCTATTTGGTTCTTCTTTTCTGTAAATGAGCACTGATTATCACGTCTACCTTTATCATTCGTTTCCAGCTGACGATTACGCCTTCTCATTCTATTCTCTAACCTTAAACCTCTCAGAGCTTGGACCCGCTGCTCAATCTCCAAAGCTTGAGAGAAGTTCCAGATCCTGACAAGACCTTCTTCACCAGCACACACAATTCGGTTAGATCCTACATCCACTGCAAACAAATTGCTCCCAAAACCATGTAGCATTCTCTGTGGTGGTTCGACATTGTCAACCAGATTAACAGCTTTAGAAGAAGAATTCAGTGAGGATTTCCGGTTTGTTCTCAACAGCTTTCTCACATCAATAAGTGAAAGTTTTCCATCACTTGAAGCTGAAACAAGCCAAGGGAACTCAAATGCAAGAGAGTAAACAGCATTCAAGTGAGGAATCCAAGTTGCAACCCGCCTGACATGGTACATAGCATTTTCAAAGATTTCAAACATGTGAATAGCTCCATCTTCCCCACCAGTGAACAGAAGCTTCCCGGTGTGGCTTCGCGCCAGAGAGTAAGTATATCCAGCATGAGCATTGTTGATGATAGCAAGTTGTGACCCACTATTAGTATCCCAAACATAAAGATCCGAGCCTGCTGTACTTGCCACTGTTGTATCATGGGGAGCAAGATTCCACACCCAGTCGCTGTGTATCAAAACTTTCAAACACTCCAGAGAAGATCGATCCCAAACACGAATACTCATGTCCCATGAACCACTATACATCCTATTGAAATCCAACGCAAGGCATGTTATTGGCCCACCATGTTCCCAAACTTGGAATTCCATATCCTCGTTCTGAGGTGCTCTAAGATCAAACAATTGAGGATTTTCGTCATTCGCTCTCCAACCATGTATGAATCCACCAGTACCCCCAGCCACTAACAGCCTTGAATCAGCTGCAACTGCACGGATAGTGCAGCCAAGAGATTCAGATGAGGCAATTGACAACCCTTCTTCCAAGTCCCACATTCGCACTATTTGATCATAACCTGAAGTAAACACAAGCTTCTTTGAAGCTAAAACAAAAACTGCTCTAACATCCTCAGTATGACCATTCAACATATCTATAGTATACCGTCCCATGAATGTTTTACTCCGAAACTCCCTCTCCGCAAACAGCTCCTTCCACAACTTCTCATCTGAATGCCCTGCACCAAAAGGTGGCTGCAATATTGGCTGCCCCCACCTCTCACAGTAGAACTCCTTCCACACATGGTGCTCCGATGCAATCTGATACAATAATGTACAAGCACACGAAACAATACCTAGCTCCTTTGGTTCTAACAAATTAAATATTTCTGAAATCAATACCGGAGGAAGTTCAGTAATGGACCGACAACCAGGAAGAACTTCATTACCAGTAAGCAACTCCTCGCATTTTGAATTCACAATCCCACCTTTAGCATCCAATTTATGTAAAGGTTTTCTTTTTTCCAATTCTAATGTCAAATTATCTCGATTCTTAGAAGGTTCAATTGAACAAATTCTCAAACTCTCAATACCTTTTTGGCATTCAAATGCCATAAAAATAGCTAACTAAAACTCAAGAACACGCTCAAATACCTAAAACCTAAACAATTGGACACCAAAAATTGGGGGAAATTTCAAAAACTAAAAATTGAGAAAGACCCAAAAATTCTAATACAAAATCCTAATTAAATTTCAATAAATAGCTGTAGAATCAACCTCTATCGATGAAACAAGCTTCTCTAGAACCCAAAAAAAATATAAATTATATCTGAACAGATCGCAAAAGAGAAAATAAATGGAGAATCGAATAGAGTTTATGCAAATTGCTGTGCATGAATTAGGGATTTGAATATTTGGGGGAAAAAAATTACGAGAGAGACTTACAGAGACATCGAGATCTACGGTGATTAGAACTAAGGGAACGGACGGTGAAAGATGACTTTTTGGTGCGAGGTAAATTTCACATATATCGCGTAATTATAAATTGACAAGGACTAGAAACACGATGAAATTGTTGATTATATACTGAGCTAGCGTTTGATTTAAATTTGTGTGAAATTTAGATTGAAAATATTTAGCGTTTAGATTTGATTTGAGTAAAGTTTGACTTGAAATTTCAACGTACGTCAGCACTTACGATTTGAGTCGATTTAAGGATATTTTTGTCTTTTATCTTTTAAATACTATTTTCAGATTAAAAATAACTCAATTTTCAGTTATTGGACTAAAGTTATCCTTAACAAACTACAAGTTCTTATATTTAGTCTATCATTGTTACATAATAATATTTCATCATCAAAAATTACGATGAGTGATGGGAATACTCCCTTCGATTTATTTATTTAGTTACGTTTTGTTTTACATGCCTCTTAAAAGAAATACTAACTATATGTAATTTAATTGAATTATCCTTGTTTATTACTATTATCTCTTTTGCAAAACATTAATTTTTCTATTAATGATAAAGGTGAAAATAAACAATTAACTATATCTTCTTCTTTTTTAAATAATAATAATGTTGCTTTGTTTATTTTTAATATAAGAACAACAAGACAAAATAAATTTAAAAAGTATCAATCAATATTTAATAAAAAATTTCAAATTTAAATTTTAAAAGTAAAATCATTTTTATTACTCCTAGAAAACACTTTCACTCCCAAAGTGATACTTCCCAAAAAAAAATTATGTCATGGGTGATGGATAGCCATAAGTTTGATTTGTTGTTTTATAAGTTTGGTGTCTCAATCAATATTTTTATTATCATTAACTTTTCATACAAAATATAGAAACGACTAAAATGCAAGGTGTAGTCAATGATCTCAATTAGGGGCATCAAATAAGTGTATTAAAAAAGATTAAATAAAAATTTAATTGGGCTAAAATTGATTGGGCACAAATGGGCTAAAAATCGAATGGGTCATGACATGCTTAATCTTAACATATTGTTATTTAACTTTTATAACCATAGTTTGGATTTCAACCAAAAAAAATAATTTTTAAAAAAGTTACAAATTGATAAATAAATTATAGAAGATATAAAATAGATAGTAATTTATACCTTCAATATAGGAACATGCATTACATTAATGCAAGTAAAGAGACTTGAAAAGTGTTGAAATTGGAGATTAAATTGGTCTCAATTGAAGGTTCTTTTGAAATTGGATAAGGCTTGAATGGGTAGAAATTAGACTCAATCGTCATGGTACGGGATTATTTGGACTACAAGATCAAACTAGATTATAGAGCAAGATTTTCTAAGTAATAGTCAACAAATTGGAATTCATTTATTAACAGATTTTTTTCTTCCATTTAAACTTATTTCCATAATCCTTCCTACCCATAAAATTCTGGACGAACTAAACGGATTATATATATTTGGGTTCATTTTGACACCCCTAACTATGGTTCGCTATTTTTGAGACACAATTTGAAATCAATCTATTATGAATGTGAGTGTAAAATATCA